TATCATCTTGTCTGTGCTCTGGAAAGGGAAGGTTTGGGTATTGTAGATAATACCTATCAACCAGCTATTGGTTATTCGGACATTGGTGGCGGTTATGGCCAAATTTTGCTGCCTATTTTGGAATGAGAAGGTTAGTGTGATTCTAGCATTCTCTCTGATTTTTAGGCTGTATTTAATAACATTCGGCATCTCTTTGGTTTCCAACATGCTAAGGTTAACCATAGTGATCCCAGCTTCCATTTCCTGACACCTCTTGTTATGCATACCCAAACATAAAGTTCTTAGGAAAAAATGTAATGCAAAGCAAAGTGCCAGACCATGAGACAAGATCCTCTTTGATATGTGGGTTTAATATTTGGCTGAATTTATGAGGCAGAAGTAATGCTTTCAATTTCGTTTTACTGCATGTATCAGAAAAAGCTTCCTGTTAAAACTAATACGATGTTTTAGCAGATTTTAATATCACCCAGGGACTAGTTGTTCAGTTGAACCCATCATAAGATACAGTGTTCAGTGGGTCCCCCAGATTAAGTAAGACAAGCTATGTTACTCCTCCCCCTGCCCTCTTAGTAGCCTGTTCTCCTGGAGCTCCTGGATACTTGTTCTTCCTCTGCATGGTCCTGCAGTTCTCTTCCTCTGAACCAGCCTAGATTTCATGTGATTGCCAGGGTGAGTGGACCCTCAGACCGACATGCTTACCCAGAGAGGCCACGACCTTGGGAGCCCCTGCTTGCGTAAGGCTACATTGATCCAGCAGGTCATTCAGAACAATGGTAGTAAATGAAGCGTAGCATACCAAAATATTCTCAGCAGAGTTCAGTTTTTTCCGTGATAAATAGTACGGTATGCTTTTTAAAAAATGAGCAAGAAGCATGAAAGTAACCTTGAGTTTGGGGTCATTTGTTCAGGCTCAGTCTGCTTGAGAGATAATTTAGACTGGTCATCACTTAAGATTCCATTTTAGTTGTATGATTTTTTTCAATCTTGGATCTTTATAAAATATTAAACTTAAAAAATATACTTTTCCTTGTTATTAGGTATGTTTATTATTGAGGTTCAGAAGAGCACATTCAATAGGCAAACAATTACTTTTTACCATGTTAGATAATGCCTTGTTCTTAGTATTAATTACAGTTAAGAAATTATTCCTTTAACTGTATTACAAGAACACCAAACAAAAGGCCTTGTGTGGAGGTAGATCTTTTAAGCTTTCCTAAGCAGGCCTGGGATACAAGGCAAATCCTTGACTTCTCTTACAGAAGAGTACCAGGCTAAGAGTCTTTCCTTGCCTCAGAAAAAGAGTTGGAAAGAGCTCCATGAAGAAAATTCCTCCTCTCCCCCTTTATATTAGTGCATCCTTATATTCTTACTTCAATAGGCTCACTTTGGGAGAGTGTATCTTTTAATATACAAATATCTTCTGAGCAAGTTAAGCTTTCTAATTTTTAATGCATTTATTATAAATTGAAGCTATTTGGAAGTGACAGTCTGATGGGAAAGCAGTATTTCTCTGAAAGCTGAAAGAGCAAACTCTAAAAGGCAAGCTTTATCTGTTTTCTTTAATCACTAGTGTCTAAATCTTACACCGTCAGGAAGTCTGCATGGTATTTTAACACATGTAAGATAAATAGATCAGATGTCTCTCCTTTGAAATGACTTCAAATTATTTGAGTTCATTCTGTATGCTAGATGATATGAATTATGGCAAGGTAAAGCTGGTTTTCTATACCCCCCCTTTTAAAATTTATTTTTATTTTTTGGTACTGGGGATCAAACTCAGGACCTTGCGCTTATGAGGCAGGTGGCAGAACCACTGAGCTAAATCCCCAGCCCCTTTCCCCCTTTTTAAAAATTAAACTTTTTATTTTGTATATGTGCTGCCGAAGCAAGCACAAAACTTTTTATTTTGAAGTAATTGTAGCATTCACATTCAGCAGTTAAGGAATAATACATAGGGAGCCTGTATACTATTTATCCAGTTTACCCAGTGGGAGTTCCTTGAAAAGCTAAGGTAAACATCATAACTAGGATACTGACATTGATACAATGTACCATCCTTATTCAGACTTCAGCAGACTTCACTGGTATATTGGTACTCACTTGTTTGCATCTTTAGTTCTGAACAGTTTTATCACTTGTCTGTGTACAGTCCACCACAGCCTCACTGCACAGCAGTCCCATTGCCATGAAGATCTCTTCTGTTGCCTTTTAGAACAACAACTCTCTTTAATTTTTTTTTTTTGGTACTGTGGATCAAACTCAGAACCTTGCACTTTCGTGGCAGGTGGAGGAACCACTGAGCTAAATCCTCAGCCCACCTCTCTTTAATTTTTAAGACAGTTTTTGTTGTTAACTTTCTGTCATTTATGGTCTTGACTTAATTGTTTTAAATTTATATTCATTTAAATTATTTTAAATACTTAAATAGTGGTTTAAAAGCCCAAATATGATGAAAGCCATGCAGTGTTTCCTCTACCCTTATACAGAATAATTCAGTGACCAGACATGTGTTTTTCCACACCAGGCAATTCTCTGGAACACCAGCTCGATTGCTGGATTCAGTCATCAGATTCCACAAGTTTGGGGTGCAGTCCCACAGGGCTACCTCTTCTTCAGATGCCAGTCTAGTCTGAATCCCTGTAAATCGAGATTCCTGTGCCCTTCCCCATGGGGTTTGAAATTTGCTCTAATGTCTCTCCGGAGACCACTCATTAATTCTTACCTGTTTATTATAAAGGACACAACTCAGGAACCTGCAGGTGAAAGACATGCATGGGACAAGCAACAATGGGTATGGGAATCGAGATGCCATGTGTCCTGGGCACATCACCCTCCTCATGCCCGGTGTGTGCTGAGTGACCCAGAGCACATCAGACTTAGTAGTTCATGAGGGCTCAGCCTCCAGCCCCGTCTTCCTTTCTAGAGGTTGGTGTAGGCTGACAGCTCCAGCCCTGCACTCACTGGGTCTTTTTGGTGACCAGTCCCCTGCTGAGGCTGTGGAGGAGTCCGAACCTGTCACTTCATTAGCATAAACTCTACAATCAGAAGAGACTCATTGTAAATGAGGAAAACACCTCTGACAGGAAAGTATAAAGGCCTTCTGTGCTGGGTGGGAACCAGGGACAAAGATGAATATATTTCTATAACACAACATAGAAGTTAGCATTTTAAGTGTGTAGTTTGATAAATGTTGTGTATATTTTCATTGTTTTGCAACATCTCCAATTCCTTTAAAGCCTACACAACTGAAACTCTGTCCCATTTAGACCCAACAGCTCCTTGTTCTCACCTCCGCAGCCCCTGGAAGCCAATTCTATTTTCTGTTTCCACGAATTTGACTGCTTGGGACCTCATATAAGCAGAATCGTACTATTAGGTCTTTTGTGACTGGTGTATTTCACTGATCATAATGTCCTCAAGGTTTCTTCATGTTGTAACGTGTGACAGGATTTCCTTCCCTTTTGAAACTGAGTAACTTTCCACTGTATATATGTGCAATGCTTTGTTTATCCATGTGTCTGCTGATGGACACTTGGGTTGCTTCTGCCCCTTAGCTATTGTCAATAATGCTGCTATGGGCATGGCTATGCCAGCATCTCTCGGGGGCTCATTTTGGGGGTATATAACCAGAAGTGAAGAAAGTGCTGGGTCATATGGTAATTCTGTTTTTATTTTTTAAGGTATTGTCATACTGTTTTTCTTAGCTGCACCATTTTAAGTTTTAAATTCCCACAAACATTATATATTCATACCTTAATGATGTTTGGGTAAATTTATTTTAATTCATTTTTGTGCTCTTTAATGACTATCTTTCTGACTTTTACACTAGACAGAGTGACTTGTTAGCACACATAGCAGATAGGATTATAGAATGCATTGTAGAGTGTTTGTATACCAGGAATGATTCTCAAGGGGACAGCTACGCATTTTTGGAGTCAGTTCTTTCAGTTATAAGTTACAGAAACCTTACCTAAACTTGTTTAAATAAAAGGAGAGGTTTTTATTGTAAGTAAACTGGGATGCTGTGTTGTATCTAAGGAGAGTAATGTAAGAGCCCTTAGAAATCACTGGAATAAGGGATTTGGCTGTCACTAGACTGTGGTGGATCTGTTTTTCCTTTTCGTCCTGCTTTGTGGCTTTCATACTATGATGAAGAGATGGCTTCTGCTTCAGCTACCCAAAGGCTAAGGAGACTCGGTCCCAATCCAGAATTCTCAGGGGAAGAGAATGATTGACCCAGCATGGAGTAATTGCTGGGCTATTGTACAGTCACAAGTAGGGCCAGGAAGAGGGAGGCTCTGTAGGATTGTATCTGTGGGAAATCTGGGGATTGACTGGGAGACAGGAGGGTACCTGAGGAAACAGAGTGAATGCTGGAGAGAGACATTGAAAGTAGTGCTTGTCCATTGTTTGTGAACTGAAACATCTGTGAACAGTTGATTGAGAATACACTGAACAAAAGAATGTAGTTGGAGAAGTTCTGGGGAAGCACTATTAGGATGACCAGCGGCAAAAGAAACCAAAACACCTATGTATGTATGGTAGGCTGAGGCCACAAGGAGAATTAGCTGAAAATCTTAGTCATAACAGATAAAAACATCGACTGATCTCTGAAATGAATTAGGCACGGTTTTTAAAAACATATTAACACTGCTCGTTAGTGTAAAAAAAGTAAGTTTATATTAAATGGAAATGAATTAACTTTTATAATTAGTTCCAAGAGGTTTGCAGGTGTATGGGGTTTAGGAGATGATGGATGGAGACAGCCATACAATGGGGACACGAAGACGAAATTACAGTGTGACCTTAGCCTTCTGATATTGTGGAGAGCATCATCAGCACTAGTGATGATGCTGATGACCGCTGTGATCACGTAGTACCCCTGCCTGTCAGTACTGTGCTGGGCATGCAGGTGCGGTCTCTCACCTACTCTTCCCCTAATCACGAATTTTCCCAGGTGGATCCCAGTGGACTGATTAACACTTTGCTTTCCCTTTCAGAGATGTGGTACTGGATCTTTCTCTGGGCTCTCTTCTCCTCCCTGTTTGTCCATGGTGCTGCAGGAGTGTTGATGTTTGTGATGCTGCAGAGGCACAGGCACGGAAGAGTGATCTCGGTCATTGCGGTCAGCGTCGGCTTTCTGGCCTCTGTAACCGGAGCAATGATTACTAGTGAGTTGACTTGATTTCGCTAAAGGACTGTTTTTTATGCACTGTTCTATCTTCTTATAAATATAACATTAGTGGAATCTTTCATGTGGAATATTCAGCATGTTACAACTGTCACCTGCATGGTAAAGATGATGATTTACTCATTGAACAGATATTTGTCCCTATGCAAGGTTTTGTGGGAAATAGAAAAATCTGGAAATTCAGTGGGAAAATTTATCCGATAGTGAATGTACTTTCTGCTTTTAAAGTCTCTCTCTAATAAAGAGGAAAGGTAGGCAGAAAAATATAATTGTTGTTTAAAAAGTGAAAATGTAGCCCTTTGGTCCTTTGTGTCATCTGTTTGTTCTTAATATCTTTTTTTTTCCTGGTACAAGGGATTGAACTCAGGACCTTAGGCTTGCCAGGCAAGTGTGGCATCACCGAGCTACATCCCCGGCCCTTGTGGCATCTGTTTGTGACGACAAAATATAACTGCCTTTGTTTCATACACAAATTGTGATGACACACACAATCTTTCTGGCCTGCCAGAACTGAGGGTCCTCTGATGATCTGCAGGTGCTGTCCTCAGCTGCCCTTTGCACTTTCTTACAGGCCTGTTCCCCACGTTCTCCTCTTGGCACTGAGCTCGGGCCCCAGCTCCAGCCTTGCTGTCACAGAGTTAGCCGTGTTTCTGCAGCTGCTGCTTGAGCAGAGCTTGGATGCGTCCTGCTGAGAGTGGAGAGGGCCACAGCTGCGCCCTCAACATGGTTGTGCAGCAGCTGCCCCTTCTCTGTGCTGCTACTCACTCTGTCCCCCCACTGAGCAACAGAGGCTTCCACTGCATTCGATTCTGGCTGCTTCCAAATGTCTGGACAGCTCACTGCTGCCACTGCATCTGTTTGGGGTTCTCCATGAAGGGCTTCTTCCTTTTAGTGGACTGTTGCCCCAGAATTAAGGGGAAGACTTTTATCTTCATAGTTCAGGGGCCTCCCTCCTTCACCTGATCCAGAGTGATTGGCATCTCTTGTCTTGAGAGGAAAGTCCTGTTTCCGTGTCTCTTGGTATGTCCCCTGCCACTAAGATGAGGATCATTAAATATTCGTGGGAAATAGTAGTCTCTTTTCTCATCCTTTGTTTATTTGGTATTTGGATGTTCTGTGCTATGTTGTATTGAGTTTTTGTACGTGCTTTTGTTCTATCTATGTAGCCTAGTACCACCTTATTCTGTGATAGTTGGGGCTTTAAATAAAGACTCAGGTTTAGCTGAAGCACAGGATATACATAATGAGGCATAGAGGATTCAGCTGGAAAGAGAGAATGGCACCAGATCCTAGAGGGCCTTGGCAGACCAGCCAGAAGGTTTGGACTTTTATCTTGCAGGCCATGGAAAATAAGTAGATATTTTTGAATGGGGTGGGCAAGAGACAGAGTTCAATGGGAAAATCTGTTTTATGGTTGAACATAAGAGTATAGGTAAAGAACCAAGAGAAAATGCACAAAGAGTAGGGACTTTGTTTATCTGTATCACCACCGTACCTCGAACAATAAAACAGTAGGGAACATAATAGATGCCTGAAGAGTACTGTTTGGATGAATGGTTAGAATGAGGAATAAAGGAAAGAATGAAGGGAGGCAAGGAAGGAAAAATAGAGGAGAAAGAACTTATGAGGTATCAATTAGCTTCTAAGCTTGAGACCCAGAGCTGATCTAGAGTAATGGCTGTGGGTTGAAAAGAAAGGAGTTCTGTAATCCCAGCACTCAGGAGGCTGAGGCAGGAGGAGCACTGTGAGTTCGAGGTCAGCCTGGGCTATATAGTGAGTTCAGGGCGAGCCTGAACTACAAAGGGAGACCCTGCCTCAAACAACCAAAAAAAAAAAAAAAGAAAAGAAAAGAAAGGAGTTGATGTAAGAACTGTGACAAAGAATAGTGAATCCAAATCAATTATTATTCACTGTGGTGGCATTCAGAGAGAGGGGAAAGAGCTGCCATTGTTGGCAACTGCTGTAACCACGTATGGAGGAGGGATGGTGTAGGAGCAGCTTGCATGTGTACATGTTTTTGGAAAACTTTCAAGAGTATGTGAGAAATGTAATTCTATTTCTATTCATTTCTAATGATACATACATATCTATACACACACATATCCCACTATTAATTCAGTCAATAAAATAAGCCAGTGATTTTAGAAACTGCAGTGTTATAGTTTAAAATCCTTGAAAATAGGTGTCTGACACAATTTCAAGGAAGAATTTATGCCTACATTAATAAAATATTTAAATTTTTCTCACTGATTTTATGAGTTGGAAAGACTTGAATTGAAACTAGTAAACATGAATTTTGAGTTGTATTTATCTTCTTAATGCAAGCTCTTGGTACTAGGTCACTCACAGCTCTCTCTGTGTGTCTGTAGACACAGATTAGCTATCTCTTCATTCAGCAAGCAGCTGAATACCCATATTCACTAAGATGTTCATTCAATCAGTTTTGTACTTCTCTATTATATTTGCTGCTTCTGGGGTTTTATTTCTAAAAGCGAGTGATCTTTTTTTTGTTGTGGTTTATATTGGTAATTCATGTCAGAAGTATAAACTGAGTTCCTTTCCATCTATGTCTAACTGTTAGCTCTTTTATTTCAGCCAGACTGCACGTGTAAAGTGATATCTCATTATTGGCTTATTTATGTTACACCCAGTGAGAGAGAACCAACCAGAGACCAATATTAAATCCACATAGGAGTTTGTTACCGGCCGGGACCCGAGCCGAGCATCGGACTCGAGCCTCAACTGGGGGTTGACAAACATGTTTTATACACCTTTTAGGCCAACAGTTTCTAGGCCCCCCATGGGATAGAACTAGTAAAGCAAGCAAAAGGTACAGAAGTGGAAAGTCCTGCTGTTAGAACATTTGTGAAACAATAGTGGATTAATTGTTGTTTCTAAGAGACTCTCTAAGGGGAGGAGGTTTCTAAGCTTCCTCCTTCTGAGTTCATCTAAAAGGCAGGGAGTGGGTCAAGCAGCAATATGGAGTCTGTCTTGCTAACTAGGGTCCTTCAATTTGCATTTCTGTGTGTACTAATGAGCAGCATCTCTTCCCATGTTTATTATATATTTAGGGTTTTTTCTGTACATTGCTTCTTTAAATTCTGTGATTTTCTTTTTTTCCCATTAAGTTTATTGGTACATTTTAGGTATACAGTACAGTTACATTCATCACTGGGATCTTGAACCTCTACGTGATGTATCTTGGTTCTTATTTTCGCCCCATTCTCCTGCCCTCCCTTCACCCCCTCAACCCTTCTCTATTTACAAAGACTTTGTTTCCATTTTTTTCCTTTTCTGGTATTTTTTCTTTTTCCTTCTTTCCTTTCCCCTGCTCCTCCCACTTCCCCTACTCATTTAGACCTTTTCTTCGTATTTCACAATATCAATTATACATTTTGATCTTTATTTATACTTTTAGTCTTTAAAAACAACCACAATCTTGTAAATGTCCCCTTCAGTGTGCCCAGGCTAGCTGTAACTCTTCAATCCCATCCAATAAGACGCTCCTCATCTTCAGGCGAAACCATAACTCATCTCATCACTGCTAAGTAGTAAGGCAGAGCCTTTCTTTGTAGGTTATTCCAAGGGTTTTTCTTTCTCCTGACTCTGAATTTGTAGAGATGGCATTTGTTTCTTAGCATCAGCCACCCCAAAAAGATTATCCTAGAAAAACAATTGGCAGGAAGTCTGCGATTTTCTTTGAATGCTTTTGTTTCCTTATTAAATTACAGGTGTTTCTCATGTATTAGAGATTGTTCTCCTGTTGGTCTTGGACTTTGCAAATAACTTCTTTCAGCCTTTGCTCAGTTATTTTCATCCATGGTGTCATTTATTGAGTAAAAATGCTTTACTTTAGTGCAATCAGTTTAAAGAGTTTTTTTTCCCTTATGGTTTATAGTCTAATTAGGGCTTTGTTGAAGAAGTTCTTTCTCATATCAAAGTCAAAAGATACCCCGATGTATTTTCTTCTGTTATTTTTGTTTTATATTAAGCTCTTTAATTTATCTAGATCAGGAGTTAGCAAACATTTTCTTAGAGGGCCAGATTGTAAATGTTTTAGACCTCCTGGGTCAGCGGCCTCTGTCAAAGCTGTTCAGTTCTGCCGCTGTGGCACAAAGGCAGATGGCGGCATATTGGAAGGAGAGGCAGAGCTTGTGCCAATGGAGACGTTTTCTCACCAAAACAGCACACAGTTCACCCCAGCCCAGCGTCTTCCTTTGTCTTTGGTATTAGGGCTCCAGGTGGGGTTTTCCCTCCCACATGCTAAGTCGGTCTTTACCACACCAGGCATTAAAACCTTGCCCGTTCCCTCGTGCCTTCGTTTTGCTCATTACCCCCTCGAGGTCCAGGGCTCTGTGTCTGAATATTCCAACCTGTCGGTCCTTTCTTGTGTTCAGTGGGCCCAGTGTTGTCTTAGGCCTGTGGTTCTGCAGTGAGTCTTGCTGTCTGTCAGGTAGGTCCTTACTGTTACTTTCCTTCTCACATTTAACATAGCTAGCCTTGCTCCTTTGTTCTTTCATGTCAATTTTAGAATATATCTACGCAGTCCCCAGAAAGTATGGATTCTGATATTTATTCAGATTTAATTGAATATAGACGTTAATTTGGGACTCATTGACATATTAAATTATGCCACCTGTGAACGTGTAATGTATCTCCATTTATTGAGATCATCTTTGTGTTTTATTAGTTTAAAGAGAATTAAAGAGATTTAAGAGATTTTATAAGAGATTTGTATATGTTTTTGACTAAGTTAATTCCTGAACACTTAGGACTGTTACATATGACATCTTTTTTATTATTGTTTAGTCTTATTGATATGGAGAGTTACTATAACTTTTGCAAGTTGTCATTATGGAAGATTAACAAAAACTATATTTGGACAGATGAGATAGATTGCTGGTAAACTGTAAAGACAGAAAAGTAAATTATACACTATAGTAGAAGAAATAACTATTTTCCAGTAATAAAGATAAAACAAAAGAATTATAACAATAAAATACTTTTATGAACACCAATATATTCCTAAATTTAAAATATCAAAATTAGCCATGGAAAATATTAGTAGAACAATAATTATTTTTTAAAGAAATGTTATAGACTCTTTATCCCAAAAACCTGAGGCCCAAATGGGGTTCACAGATGAGATCAATCAAATTTTCAAGAAATGGTTCCTATTTACCAAGTTAATTGTAGAAAATAGGAGTGAAAGTCGTGCACAGCTTAATTGTCTGAGACCAGCACTAATGTGCTGCTAAACAAAAAGTAGAGGCTCATTCACTGTGCAAATGTTATCCTTGGATTGCAAAGGTGGCTCAGTGTCACACATACGTGCAGCTTATTCCAATACAACATTATGTGTGGGCACTAAAATTTAAATTTCGTGTAATTTTTATGTATCACAAAATATTCTTTAGGTTTTTTTTCCCCCAGCATTCAAAGGTGTACAAACCATTCTCAGTTCACAGGCAGGAAGTGGGCCATATTAGGCCTGTGATGTGATGGTTTATATCTAAATGTCCCCAAGGGCCTCAGGGGCTCATAGCTCATAGGCCAGGAATTTAGAAGGAGATGAGATTGTGGGGGCTCATAGCCAACTTGCTGTTAGAGAAGGTGGGGCCTGGTCAGAGGAGATGGTCACTGGGGGCGTGGCCTAGAAGGGTTTATCTCCTGTCTCAGCTCCTCCCTTCTCTCTCTGCTCCCTGGGTGTGGTGAGGTGAGTAGCTGTTCCTCCACCATATTCTGTGCCAGGCCATCTTGCCTTGGAGCCAGGACTGTGGACTAAAATGCGAGCCAATACAAACCTTTCCTTTTAGTGGTATTTTGTCCCAGTGATGAGAAAAGTGACTAAGACGTGGACTGTAGGCTGCCTGCCTCTAACCTGACTACACAGACTGACAGAATCAATGCACTCTTAAAGCACATTCTGCCCGTACCTGTATTACTTGCTCTCTGTCAGGAAATGTGCAGAGCAAATCACCCTGTTCACTGATGACTCTTCCATTCTCGGTTCCTTTTACTCTCCTTCAGAGTGGCTCAGCAGTATTGCTTTCTCTACTTTATACTCACTATGCCAGTCTTCACTTGCTACTGAACACTTAAGGGTTTTCCCTATTTCTAACTGATTCTGCCATTGTTCACAGAGGAAATTCCAGATATATATCATTTATTTTGACATTTATATTGTTTATATTATATTTATATATTTATATTTATTTTCAGTTCCATTTATTTTCTCTTTATTCTTGTTTATTAATTTAGCCTCCTAATTCACCAAGAAAATAAAGACTGTATTTTTTCTACTAGCTCTTGCTTAGCAGAAGATAAAGAATGAAAACTACGGGCCAGGGATTTAGCTCAGTGGTTTCGCCGCCTGCTGCGCAAGCTCAAGGACCCAAGTTCTATCCCCGGTACCAAAAAAAAAAAAAAAAAAAAAAAGGACTGAAAGCTACACTGTCCATTAGAGGGAGATGTTTATTAACATATATAAATATAAAAAGATTATCAAACTATACTGTTAAACTCAAATAGAAAAAAGATGACCCAGTGGAAAAATGAACACAAGATTTGATGAGGATTTTATAGACTTAGAAAACCTGATGGGGAATAATACATGAAGTGAAGCCTAATGACATTATCAGGGAATTATAACTGATCATAGAGATTAGATTTCTCACCTACCAGATTGGCAAGAAAATTATCAACTGCTTCTGAGGAAATGAACGTAAGTTGGTACAACTAATTTGGAAAAACAATTTGGATTGCCTAGTAAAGCTGAAAATGCCCATCCCATAAGGCTGAGCAAGTCTCCTTCTACCCATAGATCATGGAGAGACTCTTGACTGCTTTTGTGTGCAAGGGGTACAAGGATGTTCATAGAAGTAGTGTTTATGGTTGTCAAGGACTGGAGTGTCATCAGTAATATGTATTGGTCAGCTTTCACATTGTTGGGACAGAATACCTGACACTCTGGAGTTCAAGGAGGAGAGGTTTAGTTTGGCTCCGGTTGAGAGGTTTCAGTCTGTGGATGGCTGCTGGAAAGCTGGAACGTCAGGGTGGGAGAGCGAGGGTGGAGCACAGCTGCTCTCTGCGTGGCAGCTGGAAGCAAAGCACAGAGGAAGAGGAGCAGGAAGAGACACACCCTCCAAAGGCACAGCCCTGTGATCACCCCCTCCTCCTGGGGGCCTCGCAGCAGCACGTTTGGTGTGAACATCTGGGGATTGATCTGGCTGCATGACCCCATCAGCTCCCCAGGAGTCTCTGTATTCAGTCAGGTCAGCAATGAAGATACCTGGCACACAGCAGAATGGATGAACAGTGGTATATTCGTATTTGGAGTACATTTATTCCTTGCTACTTAAAATCAAGAGTTTACTGAACTTTGTCCTCATATACAGATATTTTTGTTTGAATAATAGAATGAAAAGATATCTTGGCCTTTAAAAGGAAAGCTTCTTAGAAGTATAGGGAAGTTTAGTCAAATTAGATGCAGAAATTGGATTTTAAATATATAAGTAATATGCCACTGTGTTTTGTATGTAAAACTTTTTTGTGTTGTTTTCAAACAGTACCTTATTTTTAGAGTGTTCTAGGTTCACAGGAAGTGCAGAGGGTTTCCATATACCCTCCCTCCTTTGCTTTTCATCACCATCCCGCTTTGGCGTGCCACATGTATTACAAACTTAATACATGTGAATAAAGTAGTTCCTTGAGCACTCTCAAGTCAGTGCTCTTCTCAAAAGTCACCCTTCCTTTGAGTTTGGTATTTATCCCCCAGGTTTTGTTTATGCATTACATTCATTTGTACATATGTACACATAGGTACCATATATGTATGTATATTTGTACTGTGGGACTTACATATCGTTTTATGTTTTATTTACTGTGTCTTTGTCGCATCAATGATGTATCTTAAGTTCTTTCAGTGTCACCTTGTAAAGATCTGTATTTTCATTTTGAAGTTGTATGCATTGCACGGTATGGACTTTATATACTTTACCTGTTTTCCAGCCGAAGGACAGTTGTTTTTGTTTTGTTTGATTGCAGCAAGTGCTGCACTGATTATTAGATGTGTATTTGTTCAAGTGTATGTGTGTGTCTATATTCTGGATGCTAATACTCAGTTCGTTTCACATGTAACAGTTTTCTATTTTGCCACGATGTCAAAGCTTTAGAATTTTTGCTCTTATGGTTTAAGATCATCTCTTTTCATAGGATCCTAAACACATCTGCTTATATTTTAATTATTTGTAGTTTTGTTTTTAGCATTTAGTTCTTTAATCCACCTGAGATTTACTGTAGGGAACATTGTAAAACAGAGATCTCAATTTCTTTCTTCCAAATGGCTATGCAGTTGTTCCAACCCCATTTGTGGAGTGGTAAACTACTGGAATAACCTTTATCATTTACTGCGAGGACTACTAGCTGAAATTTGTGGGGCATGTACTAGGACTGGCCACTATTGATGCAGTTATGATATGGCCTCTTAGTGTGGACATGCACCCACTTTGTAGTTGAATAAATAAGGTATGAGAGGTTGTGATTACCCAGTGTAATGAGCTTCTAAGTGGTAGAAATTGGATTTTAATTCTCGAGTCCAGCTTTAGAACCTTGCTCTTCACCTTATGGAAGTATAGGAAGCTTGAAGTGACAGCATTGTTTGCCAGTTCCAGGCAGCCTGAGCTAGCAATTACTTTGATATTCCTTTTCTTGATTCAGGTTATTAATGTTATGAGCAAATTTGGAATTACATATTCAGTATGTACTATACACATACATCTTTTGGTTTTTCAATTATGTGGTTAAATGTGGTAAAGTAAAGGTGACTTTACCAGTCACACGGAAGCCTGGAAAATGTACCAAATGAGAATGAGCGGTGAGGAACAGGCTTTTGCTGACTGAGCAGAGATCCTAAGTGGCCGCCCAGGTATGCGGTAGACGGTGAGCTGTGCTTTGTCTCCCTGCAGGTGCAGCGGTTGCGGGCATCTATAGAGTGGCGGGGAAGAACATGGCCCCTTTGGAAGCACTGGTGTGGGGCGTCGGGCAGACTGTATTGACATTAATCATCTCCTTCTCAAGGATCCTCGCTACACTTTGAGGTTTCTGAGGGAATGTCTTATTTCACACAAGAAAACGGATGTACAGATTTCCTGAAAATGGCATTGTTAGCAAGCGGAAATGAAGTTGTGCAAGAACAAGGCCAGAGCAAGTCAAAGCCTAAGGAAGCCCTCACGCTGTATGGAAAGACTGCCCTCTGGTGTTCAAGCGATTGCACTACCGCCCTGCACCTTACGTGCCTCTGTTCCAGGCAAGGTGCACTGAGACCTACGTGAAGCTGCAAGAAAAAGCACCTTGTTTAGCTGCCAATCAGGTTAACGTTGGTGTTCGGATCATCGTTCTTACCAGTGTTGTATTGAGTTCCAGGGACGTTCTGAGACGAATTGATACATGTGCCAAACTCTTCGCTTTTGTTCACGCTGATCGTGTGACGATTTGCAAGTGTAGCTGTAGATGAGTGCTGTGAGCATAGTTGACATGAATCCAGGTAATGTAGTGAGACTGTTTTGTAATGCTAAATCCCGTCTGAGTGCTAAACCCTGAATCATATCATGTGAGAGAAATTGCTTGGTTTTTAATGTTGAGCATCTCTGGGATTTAGGGCATTAGTATGTTTAGGCATTATTGTTTTTTAACTTATGTGAAAAATAATAGTCTTCTTAATGGAAGACTAGCTAAACTGTTTTAAGGACTCAAATTAGATCTATAGGGTGCGTACTTTTCACTAACAACACCCTTTTAATAGTTTCCCTCATGCATAAATACTGTTTATAAGAATTCAAAAATGTTATGTTTCACACATACTGATTGTCATTTGTGTGTCATAAAATATAATTTGAAATTTTTTTCTAGATTTTGTAAGGGAAAAACGTCTGGAATGCATGTTACATTCTTTGTCTCCTCTAAAGAAAGCTTTTGCCTTGTATCTCATGGAGAAACCATCTTTATAATTAATATTATAGTGGGGTTATATCGTACATCTTGATCTTTGACAAAACTTTTTCATTCTGGAGTATTAACTATTTAAAGAGTGGCCTAAATTAGGCTCTGGAAGTAAAAGGCTCCTTTTGTAGATAAGTAACCAGTAAGCTATATAGGAAGGATAATAAGCTATCTTACTGCAGCGTCATGATTCTGCTAATCATGGGGAATATAGTAAATAATTTAAAAATTTGTCAGTCTCAGCATATCAGTGCAGCACAGAATGTATACTCAAGTGATTCAGTTCGGTTGTTCAGTTCTTTTTTTTGGTACCAGGGATCAAACTCAGGACCTTGCGCTTGCGAGGCAGGCGGCAGCACCACTGAGCTAAATCCCCAGCCCTGTTCAGTTCTTGATTTATACTGTTCAGTTTTAAGTCTATTTACTTTGAGAAGTTATGATTTAAGTTTATTAGAATCTTATCACACTTACTAAAAATGGAAATGTCCTTTGTATAAAACATTTTAAGAAGTGTTGGTAGGTACATAGTTTTCTATAAAAATACAAGAAGTAGGTAGAACACAGACCCTGGTCAAGTCGGTCTCCTCTGAGACATTTTGGGCATCAGTTGCAGAAGAGCCATTGCCCAGAAGCTAAGAAAATTCAAAAGATAACCTAGCACCCTAGCCTTTTTGTTTGACCTGATTTTATTTTTTTAAGTAGATTTCTTTTAGATCTGGTGAAATTTCAGACTTAAATACTTTTTCTCCACCAAAGTGAATATATAAACTTAGCTAGGATTTGAGGAAGGGGTCCTTTTAGTCTCAAAGCCCATTTTAGGGATTTACTAACATTGTGGCTTGGAAATTTGTTTTAAAAAATGAGCAACTGTGAGTTCATAGAGATCTTTAAGGTAAATCTTAAACTTAATTCTTTTATGATATAAAAGCCTATTATTATTTTCATATGTTGTTTATATTCCTGATGTTTCCTCAAATTAAATTTAGACATAACTTTTTCAAGTCAGTTAGATTTCTCCTTTTCTGATAGACTTGAATTGTGTTCTTCCTTTACTTTGGCTGTTCTATCAATAATTTAAAACATTCATGTTCTTCCAGAGAAATTACTAATAGCATATGGAAATTGTTTCAGATCTATAGACTGAATATTTTAACATATGGTTATTTTTTGATTTGTGACAGTTACATGGTAAGATAATATAGAACATATGGTTCATAATCCAGAAAATACCTTGGATACATTAACTATATGAATTATGGACCAAAGAGATTTGAACTCTTATTTTTCCTCTAGGATGAAAGTATGATTGAGTGGTTAATAATTAGTTTGTAGAATGCCCTGAAGTTATGCCACTATCAAGTTGATTTACATTAAGAATTGAGTGTGTTGTATACTTTAATATTTAGGGGGACATTTTTGATTTCTTTGCTGCTCTCAGTTATTTCCATTGAGATCTAGTGCATCTCTCACTGTTTTGATGTTTGAAATGTTGAATAGTATGAATTTATCAATTGTCTTAATAACTGTTTATACACTGCATTTCTAAAAGTAAATGGTTTTCTTATAGAGATAAATGTTTAATGATATATATACACAGATATATATATCATTATATACATATATAAAGAGCTATATATGGATACACTCCAATTGGAAAGCTTTTGCTTAATGAACACTTTGATGTTCTAGTGAATTTGTTACACTTGTTTGGTTGAATGGTCTTTTAAGTAGATTTGAAGATGTTTGAGATTTTTTTAATCCCGGGAAAATTTTTTTGGTGTAGTAGTGTGGGAGATCCTTGTTTGGGACATGACAAAAGCCCTTACTGACATAATTGGGCTACACTTTCTTAAAATTTGTATGTGATTTAGCAGTACGTTTTCTTTGTGACAAGTGCAAAAAGGAAGTGAGAGAATCCTCTGCAGTTGACACTTGCTTTAAAATATTTATCAAAATATTTCTGATAGTGAAATCAGGTCCCCTAAGAAGGAACTCCTAGATGCCCAAAGTTACCACATAACATCTGGTTAGAGATGTCCATAGAACAGAGTAGCCAAGGGGGCCTCATGTAAGCTATAGACAGTACTCAAAACCTTTAAAAGAAGGAAGTACAGCTAACCCACCCCATGGCACAGTTCGGTTGGTTGCTGTGGAAAGTTCTGAATCATGGCATATTCATTGCGTGCAGCTTGTTATTTTAGATCCTAATGTTTACCAAGCAGTGTTAGAGTCTTACCCAATATGCTGTCTTAGGATTTGCTATATACATTTCACCTGCTACATTTCCAAACCCTCAAGTGTTGTGTGTGTTCTTTAAATGAGAGAAAGGAAAAAGAATGAGTTGGCCTGTATATTTGCTATTTGTGATGTAGGAACAGGGATAATTACAAAATCAAAGAATGTTGTTGGAAAAGGTTCTCCGAGCCTCTAAATAAGCCGAGGAAGGTGGAGTTTCCACTCTCTTGTGCCCATGCCAGCACCCACCATGCCAGCTAACTCAGTTTTGTAAACACTTCTTGCAGATCTCATGTGTGCAGAGTGCTATACGAAATGCTGTCTGTCAGAATAAATATGGCTACAGTGGGATTCCTGCCCTTGATCGAGCCCACCAAGAGCTAGCAAAGCAATTTCAGACCCTAAAAAGCTTGGGGCAGCATTTCAGTTCATGATTTTGGTTAGCAGTTCAGATTCTGTCCCCCACTCCCCTTCTGATTTTCCCAATATGTCTACTAAATGGAATTTCACTAGCTGAGATGCCGTTGCTGTGACACAGTGAAAACATTAGACTCTAGAGGCATAGGCTTGAATCCAGGCTGTCACTCACCAACTTTTTGATCCAAACACTCATTAAACCTCTCTGAGCTTCAGTTCATTTCTTGTGAAAGTATTAACACTTTGTATCATTATTATAAGAATTGTTTATGATGACAAAGCAATATGTAATTATGGTGAATAATTAGTCACCAGGATATTTTAAAAATTATATTTCACCATAGCAGTTGATTCTGTTTTGTACAATTCACTCTTCTTCCATTTCCACATTTTTCCTATATATATATATATATATATATGAAAAAAACTAAAAAAGTTCTCTTGTAATCTTACTTCCTTCACCTCTTCTCTACCCCTTTATTTTTAAAATCAGCAGATACTTATCTAAAAACACATTGGGAATTGGTAGGGTGGGAGTGGCCAGGACAATCAGGATTAAATTATGGCTTCCTGTTGCCATTGGTCATAGTAGAAAGAATAGAAGTGGCCAGTATTTACTCCTGTACCATTTCCTACCTATTTCCTAGGGATTAGATTCACTCAGAACATTTCTTGACCCTCTGATACATGCAGATTATTCTCTTTGTTTTAGAGATGGAAAAGTGGGTAAGATACAGCCCTTTCTGCCCCACACACCCACCTTCCTCCTGCCATCTTGGACGTCAGCCTCTGCATTGCGCTGCCGATTCTGTTAGAACACGGAGCTGGGCTTCAGTGTTTATGTCCTTTCCGTGGACCGGGCCTGTTGTTGGCCCTGGTGGTTGTTGGTTGTTTTCTTTAACCCAAAAGGCAATGCTTTTATTTAAAATATATATCCATTTTATAATTCAGGAAGTAACAGGATGCCAAGAGCACTTTCTGAAGCATTCACAGACAACTTCTCTCTTGCTAAAATTTTTCTCCCAGCAAGCCTCAAACAGAATCTCTTCAAACCTAGTTTTTAGGATCTGAGGAACATGAAAAGTTACTGAAGAAATTAGTATTAGATTTAGATTGCAGAGAATTTGGTGTATATGTTGGGTAACTGGGTAAATTACTGTTTCTTTTAATAATCAGGAGTGAGACTCTCAGTGACTAAAATTGACTAGTAATCAAATGGTCTGGTAATCTCCCTTCATGTCCCATCCTTTAAAACTCGTCAAGATAGAAGGGACATCATTTGATTAAAATTTTTAACATTTTTCAAATGTGGTAGCGTTTTGTAGCTGAGGGAAGTTTAAAGACAGGAAGAAATGTTGGAGGTCTGATGGGTACGTGAAGCACCTTGCCCTGTGAGCACACAGCTCCCCTTTCTGCTGAGACTCTGACTACACAGTATGACTGTGCGTCCTGCATGTTTACGTAGTGCTGTGTTCCTTCCGTGTGCGTGCCCCTAACCACAGTGTATTTGAAGTTCTGCTACGTGTGTATTTGTGTGTGTGTGTGTGTGTGATTATAGTTTTGCCCTTGTAATTTGAGCATCTCTGTTCTGTTACAGAAAATGCACTGTTATTAAAGTTGCAGAATTACTTATCTCAAAATATAGCTGTGAATTTGGGGGAAATAGTACTTAATATATTAAATAGTTTCACTAAATGTGGAGATGTACTGATGAATTCTTTATTAAATTAATATCACCACTCAAATTTCTGAGAGCCTAGCTATAAAAGTAATCATCTCCCTCTGAATTTAGGGGATTCACTTTCATACTCTTCACATGCATTGCACATATGTTGAACTTGCATAATAACCCTTCCTTGATTTTAAGAACTAATTTGACAGTTTTTTAAAAGTCCTTCCTCCTTTTTCTAAACAGATGTCCTACATTATAGTTTAAACATGCACAGTGTTTTGATAGAAGCTGGAATGCTGATACAGAAGATAATTTTCAACACCAATGGTTATGCAGCCATTATCTTTTTGAAAAATAAATAGCTATAGGCAAGTCAGGATAGCATGCAGCTCTTATGTTTCATTTTGGATTGTCTCCTGTACCAGTACGAAGTGTATAAACCATGAGTAGTAACGTGACTGTCTTATTTTGGGAAATGTCTTTAGGTTTATAACTGAAACTGGAAAGCAGTATGTCACAGATGTATGGAAAGAGAGACTAAAATGCATAATTATCTGAATCTCATGACCATAACTTTTTTTCCTGAATACAAATTGGTGATTACTAAAAGTCATTACCTGTTTTAGAACCCTGTTTCAATGAATATTAGCTTGAAAGTACTATTGATGATGAAAAGCTTTTTTTAAAAAAAAATTAAAGTATATAGATTTCATCGAGTATCTTGGGGATGAGACATTTTAAAGTTTTTCCATAGAAAGCAAATAGAGGTACTTGTTTGAGTACATATAAAAATAGTTTACTTTCAGTAGTGGGTGAGTTGATAAGCTAATTGTTGACATTTTCTTAGTGTTGTAATATGGAGTGCATTTACCATGGAGGAATTCAAAACATTATGGGTCTCTCCCCAACATGCCCACATACCTTCACACAGGGGCTCTGCATGTTTAGACGAACAAATATGAAATTCCACAGTATTTTTCGTTTAAATTTACAACTTGTTAAAATTCATATGATTTCTACCATAAGTATTAGCCCTTGACTCTAGTCTTTCTGGGAGCAACTTCATCTTAAAGTTGACTAGCTAATAAAATGTCTTCACTGAAGTACCAACAATATAGTTTACCTGGTAGGCATTAGAAGACCATTGATGAGTCAGTTAAATCACAGTACCAGTTTTAAAAGCTAAATGATGCCTTAGTGCCTTGGAAGTTAAAATACTTTTGCCAAGTGGTTTAGCAAAAGTCAGAATTGGCGCCAATGAGGTGTCTGTGTTCACATCACTTGTGACTGGAGACCCAGAGTTATGAAGGGTGTCATGGAAACACGTCCTGGCTACTAACTCCTTACGGTTCACTCTAAATCAGCTACTTAGCCATCAGCTAGGACAGATGACAACTACTTTCATTATGTTCTCATGATGTGGCATTTTCCTCTCTTTTTTAAAATTTTTCCAACAAAGTATGAAACAGAGAAAAATGTAGTCAACCATTTAGATTTTTAGTTTTGTTGTAAACTAGAGATCCTAGTGTGAACTGTGTTAGTTTTATATTTTAGTATGGGGCAGACACTTTAGAAATATGTTTATCATCAGGGATTTATTTTTACTATAGAAATATTAAATGTACTGTGAAGCTTAAAGACAAGAATAAGCATTGGAGGGGTAATACAGAAAAACAAAAGCATATTTGATGAAGTACCCTGCATTATGTGAACACAGTTTCCCCCTCTGTTAAGACTATAAACTACACTGTATGAGTATGTGTACTGCATGTTTACATAATAGTTTAACTTTGAAGGATTATTTAAAAAAACTTTATATATAATACCTAACAAACTGTAAATATTGTATACTATTGATTTTTAATTTTATATAAGCAATTTTTTATTTCCCGATTCATGTACAAATCTCATTGTGTATATAGCATACTTTCCCGGAGAACATTTTGCAGTGAATTTGAAGTATTTTAATTGCAGTATCAGGTTAGCCTTAGAAATGTTGATCTTCATTTAAATTATTTTTCACCACTCGTTTTCTTCACAGGGCAGCAATAACGTATGCAAGTTATTTTTGATTATGAAAAAGTTGGTCTAACGGGACAAGATTTGGGTTTCAATTTCATTACTTTAAAGAAAAGATGCACAATTAATATCATCCGCTGTCTGATCACGGACCACTTCTAAGGTCCACGTGCGGCTCTCCTCTTTGTAATGTACAGGGTGAACTCTGTTGATAACACACAAAACATCTGTTAAAAGTGAATCCAGCACTTCAATGTCATTACACAGAATTTATTGGATTAAAAATTTGTAATATACAGTATTTTAATAAAGTTTCTGTATTCAATTTCATGCACTTATATATAAATAAACCTGTCTTTAAAAGCTTTACAGGGTGTGTGACTCTTGGTGATATATCTTCTGTACTTGTGGTAGATTCAGTGTCTTTTCCTGGCTTTTTGTCTATTTTTTCTGGGCTAATTTTCCCTGTGGATTTTGGAGGTGAAGGCAAATTTAGCCCTATTTCTAGGTTGACCTAGGACCAGTCCTGAGTCACATACTATATTAAGAAACATGCTGTCACTTGTAGTAATAATACACTACCATTTCTTGAGTATCTGGTGGACATTTCATATGTACCCTTTGGCACTGAAGCTAATCCTTCAAATGATGTCTTCCATCCCCATGTTGTAGATAATGCATCTAAGGTGGGAAATTTCTTAACATCACACAACTCATGGCTACCGAGTTGGGTTTTTCTGTTGTCTTATTGTATTTCCCCCACTGTGCTCTGTTGGTTCCAGAATAGTCTCTCTTACCTATAATGAGATATTATATGAGGACCAGATGACATTATTGATAGTTGAAAAATGGGGATTTAGCTCTGTGCTGCCGCCGCCTGCCTAGCAAGCACAAGGTCCTGAGATTGATCCCCAGTACAAAAAGAAAAAAACACGGAAAAGTTAACAACTCATCATTTGAATTGTCAAAGTTATGCATAATTGGAATTTTTGTTAGGAATTTCTGAAGGAGGCTCAGCTACTCTCCTGCTCGCAGAGAGAATGGAACTGACAGCCAGTGCCTGTAAATGTTACCAACCCTGTGGGAATAAAAACTAGCTTCCCTTTTCAAGTTGTGCATGCATAACACTGACATTTATTTTCTGTAATAAAATTGAAGGGTATTTTACTTTTTTCCAGGTAACTTTTTAATTCTACCATATGAATTATAAGACGACCAAATACATATTTTCCTTGACCACAAATTTAGAAACTTTTTGACCAAAATTTAAATTTTGAGATCATAAAACAAGATTTTTATTTTACCTTTGGCTCTTGAAGTACATGTTTATGTGCTAAGTAAGCTATCTGGGTTCTCTGATGCTTGGTGAGTGTTTCAAGATGGCATTAAGTTTCACACTTTCCACCCAGGTAGGACAGAGCTGGAGGGTGTCACCCTTTTGTCACTGTGACCACATACCTGAGAAAAAGCCTAGGGGAAGTAAGCTTTATTTTGGCCCCTGGTTTCAGAAGTTTCAATCCATGGTCAGATGGCTCCGTTTTTTCTGGGGCTGTAGGGAGGCAGCACGTGATGTCACCTCGTTCCTCAGGGCACACAGGATGCAGTGGAAAGAAGCCAGGGGGAGAACCTAGGTCACACCCCTGTGGTCCTTTCCTTCCTGCTGGGGGCTCTTTCCTTTTCCCACCACCTTCCAAGAATGCTATCAACCTATGAACTCATGAATGGATTAACCCACTTGATGAAGTTAGAGCCCTGACTATCTAATCACTTCCTAAAATTCCGTCAGTTGGCAACCAAACCTTTAGTTCATGACTTTTGGGGACATTGCAGATCCAAACCAAGGCAAGAAAATTTAGAAAGATGGTTTGATCTTAAACAGCTTTATGGTAGCAAACAAGTCCCGTCAGACTTGTGGGGGAAGAACATCTCAAATTTACTGACCAGGGACTTAATGGTATTGATCTGTTAACTTGAACCCTTACTGATTGCAAAAAAGAGTACCTGAAGTTTTAAGATAGAGGGAGGAAAGGAAAGGAGTAGATACTGGGTTTGCTTCGCAGCAGCATCTATCCACTGCTCCAGTTCATGTGCTCTTCATTTCTCATTGCCACTAGGCATTCTTTTTTTCTAAGTACGTGTTAGTGATACATAATGATCGCATTCGTTGTGAGGAGTTGATACATGTACATGACAATTCTTTTTATGTCCCCTTCTGTCCCCCCAATCTCTTGGTACCCTTATTTGCAAAAGATCTATCTCCCTGTTTCCTATTATTTGTCTTTTATTTCGTTCTTTTATTCATAGTTGAGTTTTTCATATAAGAGCAACCATATGTTCAGTCTGTGTGTCTGATTATTTCACAACATTATGGTCTCAAGGTGCATCCATTTTCCTACAAATGACTGAAATTTATCCTACTTTATAGCAGAGAAGTACTTTATTGTGTACATACACCACATTTTCTTTACCATTCATCTGTTGATGGATATATAGGCCACTTCCAAGATTTAGCTATTATAAATTGTGTATGTATCACTGGAATATGATGTCTTTATCTACTTAGTAAGAATAACTAGGTCAAATGGAATTTCTATGTTTAGCTTGAAGAATTTTCATACTGCTTTCCATTGTACTAGTTTACATTCTTATCGACAATGTAGAAGGGTTCCTTTTCCCCTATGGTTTCCACCTTCTCGCCAGCATTTATTTGATTTTTGATGGTGGCCATTCTTTCCGGAGTAAGATGGAATCTTAGTGTTGTTTTAATGTGCATTTCTATAATGACCAGCAGTGTTGGACATTTTTTCATGTATTTACTGACAATTTGTACTCCTGGGAAGTATCTCTTCCTTTCAGTTGCCCATTGTTTGATTGGGTCTTTTATTTTTGCGGGTCTAATTTCTTGAGTTTTTAAAAAATAATTTTAGATATTAGTGCTCTGTCTGAAAAGTAGCTGGCAAATTTTCTTCCCATTCTGGAGTTTTTTTCTTCATTCCATTAGTTGTTTCCTTTGTTGTGCAGAAGCTTTTAATTTGTTATAATCCCATTTGTTGATTTTTTGATATTTCTTGTGCAGTTGGGGTTCTCTTCAGAGTCTTTACCTATGCCTTTAAGTTCAGGAGTTTTACCTATTTTACCTTCCAGCAGGTTAAGTGTTTCTGTGTTAATATTTAAATCTTTCGGTCCTGCTGCTCCTGGCCCAGAGGAAGGGGCTTCTGAGCTGACATCCCACTGCTCCTGGTCCAGAAGAAGGAGCTTCTGGGCCACCATCCCTCCCGCTGCTCCTGGCCCCTGTCCCACCTCTTCCAGCTCAGAGGAGATGAGCCACCCATGCAGGTGCCAACAGCACCCCCCCCCCCAGTCAAAATGAGAAAACACATAAATAAGTCTCAAAACCAG